GGATGTGCGTTCTTTTTGCGATCATTAAAATGAGCACAGCCTCAGTTATATGACACATAAGTTTCTCTTTTTGCGGTCACATTATTTCTGTAGATCGTGACTTAGTTTGTCAAATGCCAAATGTTTCATACTTGTGTACATTTAAAGGTTTCGTCTATTTAAAATCATTGTATCTTCACTATTTTATACAGTTCAGACAAAAGAATGCATTAAAGATGTAGCAAGAGAACAGAGCGGCTGTTTTTTGGCACATTAACACATAAATGATTCATTTAAAGGTAGCTAATTTATGGGGGGAAAAGAATCCATTATCACGGGTTGCTCCTCTACAATGAACCCTATAGCACTCTAGATATACTACTTTAATGTGCTTTGAATTCTAGGGCTTGTGAGAAACAGCTCGCATTTTGTTTTCCATCCAGCTTTTAAAATACAACAGGAATCTCATCAGAATATCTCCATCTTCATTTCCTCCAATCACATGACAGGACAGTTTTTTTTTTTTTTTAAAGATTAGTGTCACATTTCCAAATTTCCAGCGAGCCTTTTCCAAGAAACCTCATCAATGGTTTAACATCCTGGAAACAGATACTGCGTGTACGCTCTGATTTCCATAACGGCAAGCTTTATTTTAATATGCAAATATTAAACAGCAGCGTTATTAACATGATAGAGTCTATGGCTCTTGCTGACAGGAATGTGGCTGCCTCGACTTGCAGAGGTGCATCTAGAAGAGCCCTGAAGGTGAAAACACACCACTCTGGAATGTGAATCCTTTTACTCTCATTGTACTACGATCAGTCAAAAAGCAAAGAAAAGTTCTCTAACTCTTTGAGGTATGGGGGCAGTTGTTTTTATTAGCCTCCCAGCTTGGAGCCTTTGGAATGAGTCAGGCCTGCGCTTAAATGAGCAGTGGCACTTACACTATTTACACTGGTTGATAATTAAATCCAAGAATGCCAGCGTGATACTCCCGTCCTTGCGGAGGTTGTCCTTCAGGAGTTAAACTTCTCAGGAGTGTGACAAACGGCACACTGTGAGCTTTAACGTGCGCTCAAATTGAATAAAGTGTACATTTTGCCACCTGTTCCAACCGGCTCCCGACGAGCACACAACAGAAGCGTGGACATGCTTTGGGTCTGTTCTTGGCTGTGAAATCACTATCACGTGCACCATCATTTCATTTGGTGACAAAAATCACACTTCTTTATTTTTTTTTTTGCTTCATTTTTAGCTTACCCCAAAAATATGGCTGATAATTTATGTCTGTTCATTTTATGCCTCTATTCGTTTTACACAGTGCCTTTGATTGCCACCTTTTTGCTGTACATCCAACAAATCGCCTCCTCCAAGTTTTGGGCCTCTCCATTTTCGGTTTGGATCAAAACCAAATTGTGCCCACATTAATGTCGGGAGATGCTCATCGAAATTCAGTCGCTCAAATATTAGATCCTCGAGATGAACAGTTGGTGCCATTAAGCCATAGGATAAGACGAGGCCCCGGTAGTGCAAAAAGATGTAGATTGAAATATGACATTCCTGTTAGTTTCATCCAGCTGGTTTTACGCAGGTGGACTGAAATTATTCTAAAGATAATACAAAAACAATTACGGCCAGTTTAACCAAAGCCCTCGATGATACAAGAATGTGCGAGGAGGTGAAAGATTTGCAGCGTAATGACAGACTCGGGGCAGTCTTTAGTTTTGTGGCACCGTCATAAAAAAAGGGGGATAATAAACCGAAACCACAATCTTGAAGATACCATAAATAAATCATTATATTACCTCAGAACCTAAAGTTTTATGTCTAAAAAGGCGTTTGTGAGCATTCCCCTGAGCTGAAACACAGGAGCTAAAAATTCATGCGGAAGTTCTGAAGACCTCATTAACACCACTGAGACAGTTCTGAGGTTTAATTAGTGCTCATATTAACTGTAACTGTCGCTGCTTTAACTTTCACTGTTGATTCTATTGCTTCTGATATAACAGTTTGGGGTTTTTTTTATTGCTTTTTAATTGAAAATGAGGGGTTTTTTTTCTATGACTGTAGTCCAGCAGCTGGTTCTACACTTTGCTGTAATGCTGAGAACAACACCCTCATGTAAACACACTGCTTGGTGCTCAAGTGGAAGCACCTCACACTCCAACATGTGTGTTCCCTCAGGGAGGCGGGGCGCCGGCAGGCAGAGGCATGCCGGGATGTGAACCTGAACATCTGCCCAGGTCGGTGCACTGCTTCCCCCCTGCACCCTCTACGCAAGGTCAGGGCAGCGTCTCGGAGCTCTCGCACTTTCCCATGGGAAAACAAACCGAGTGGAGACAAACTGCCAGTAGCACACTGCAAACAGACACCCTTGTGTGAGCGGTCGGTTCTGTCTCTCTGCTGCTCAGTTCGCCAGATGGAGGCCACTCATTAGACGCCGCTCCGCGTGTGAATCCCTTTACTGTCTAAAAACCGGCGACGGGGATGGACTGAAATTAAAATAACACCCACTTTACGACTGGATGGGAACATGCTGTCGCTTTAACAAGCGGTCCACGTCTGAAGACTCGACGGGCACGTGGCTTGATGAAATGAGGAAATAGGGCGCAAAATTGTTTGTCAGAGGAATCAGACAAATCCGCCTTTTATTGTCAGCTGTCACCAAATATGCTTATCTTCAAAAGACTGTTTTGATTTAAGCTCGCGGCGTTTTAATGAGCTGCATCTTCGTCGACAAAATCACTGCTGCTGTTCAACGAGGCTCGAGAGAGACACGACTACTACTGAAAAAGCTGAGAGAGAGAGACGAGGAAAAGTAAAGAGGCTGCACCTTCGCACGTATGAAACATTAAATCTGCATTAGTTTCCCAATTTGAACGTTTTCTGACGTGATGCCATCAAAAAAGGAAACACTGTCTGCATCGTTTTGACACTGTTACTTTTCACAGCAGAGATTGCAGCGGAAGGTGTTGATCTCTCTTTGCACATTTGATACTGACACTTCCCTTCTGGCACACCTTTTTATTTCGAGGTACTGGAATGACGACGTGAAAAGAAAAAAAAAAAAAAGTGAAAACGACTGCAGCAGCCACAGTGACTAGATTAGTCACAGTCAAAGCCAGAGATCAAAGACATGACAGAAAAAAAAATGTACGCTCTCATATCTCTTTGGATCATTATCACAGTTATATAACGTGCACTCCAGACGACAGCAGGTGTTTCAAGATCCTATACGCGCCACTCTTGGCATACATTTGGACAGTATTAATATTATAACACGGCAGACCAACAGTCTAGAAATAGTTCAAACTAACTTCCAGTTGTGCCAAATATACAACGCTTTGGCTCTTTGTGTGATCGTATAGAGTTGCTATCCAAAGACAGAGAGGAGCCCAAAGATGAGGGCAGACGCACTAATTATCAGTAACAGCGGAGCAACATTTAACAAAATCTATGGATTCCTATGTAGCTTAGTGTTGGAAGAAATGTCAGCTTACATAAACCTGTTACCAATCAATGACTGGTCTCAAGGGGCTGGAGCCAATCTAAACAGGCTCTTTAATGTACATATTGTCAGCTACTGCACATTAATCAGGTTTAATTTGCAATTTGATGCAATTTACAAAAGCTGCAATTTCGGATGTACTTCACGCAGCAGATCTGACCCAGGATTTAACCTGTGGTATCAATGCTTTTACACATTTATGCTACTGATGCTATCGAATCCATCCATCTTTGTCATATATCACACAGGAGAATACTATGCAGAAGCCTGAATGAATGAAAAATCAAATTGCAGTTGGATATTTTCCACAAATACCTCAGCCCTGAAAGGAATATTTCTACTTTCGATTGTGAATGTGTCAGCTTACAAATCTGCCTGGATCTCTTACAGAAAATATGATTAAACACCCTGGAGTAGAGGGGTGGGGGGGCTCTCCAGTAAACCAGTGACTTGCAATGAGCTGCACATGTCAGAGTAACGCCATATGGTACGTGGACACACCAGAGGAGGAGACCATCATTCTGAGATTGAGTCCACGATAATGACTGAGAATGATTAATGACGAGCCATTTCCACCATTAGACATTCAATCTGCCTACAGTGTTTTAAAATAAATGCATATATACTAACTCACAAGCATAATAAAAATCATGCAACAAGGTTCCCTGGAATAAAATCACATCAATCTAGGTGAGATCCTTGGCGTGTAACAGTTAGACAAGTCGTGTCTGATAAAACTTAGTATGTACGACCCAACCCTGATGAAACGTGAGACTAATACTGACCTCCTCGCTGGCCCGACCACAGAATGAGGTGACCCAGGAGGAGATAAAATAAACACAAAGAGCAGCTATAAAAAAAAAACAGCACAGGAAACCAAAAGGAAGAGCTGTGTCTTCCTCTTGTCTGACACATTATGAGCTATATGAGTATATACACCCAGGCAGGCAGGCAAGGCAGAGAGGCAGGAGGGGGGTGAGGCTGCAACTACCCTGCATCTTTTGTCTGGTTGTGGCAAAAAAAAAAAAAAAAAATGAAGGAAGGAGCATGTGCTTCTATCACCTGCTCACTATAAAAATGATAATCAGTGAGGAAGAATTTCTAGCTTCCACACCCCCCCTCAGGGTTCATTCACATTGTGCCAAATCAACTGCAGCTCCGTTGTGCAAAAAAAAAAAAACCTCTGCACAGCGGCTGCCTGGGTGCGCCTGCCGTCTCATTCATGTGTCTCAAGGGGGGCGAGTGAAAAGCTTACTGGCGTCGAGCGAAAAAGAGCGACCACACAACGGACACCCTTGTGCGAGGAAACCGGCGTGATAGTCTGGAGGGGGGGTGGTGGATGGACAGCGATCGCAACCAGGATGTGCGCTTTAACAGAAGTCACTACACTAGATCCCCACCCCCCCACCACCACTACCCCTCCTTTAGTCACCTATAACGCGCCCCTTAGAATAAAAAAATCTGAACTAATTTCTCCTAAGATTCCCTACATAGTCAAGAACATGCCCTCCACCTGCTTGTGTCGTATCGGTCAGATCGTAGCTCATCCCGGGGTACTCCCTCAGCTTCCTCCCGCTCAGGTTCAGGATCCCGGAGCACACGGCATCCTCCAGAGCCCGGTCCAGGCTGCGGGCCGTGTGGTGCTGCTGCTGCTGCTGCTGCTGCGGCGGCGGCGGCTGCTGCTGCTGCTGCTGGGGCTGGTACTGGCTGATGCCCGGGCTCCAGTGAGGTCCGCTCGGGTAGTGATGGCTTTGTAGAGCACTGACAGCTCCCACACCTCCCTGACTAGACGCCATTTTCGTAAAAAAGAAATTACTCTTACAATAATAACAGCGCACAGCGGCAGTTTCTCCGCCCATGCGCATACAGCGTTACATTCCCGGGACGGACGCTAGGGGATGGGCTTCTGAGGTGCTGCTGCTGCTGGTGATGATGATGATGATGGTGGTGGTGAGCAGGGTATGGTGGCCATTTTAGGCTTTTTACCCCCTTTTTTTCACCCCCCACCTGGTAGTACCCACCTTTTTTTTGCTGAGGAGCATGTGCAGCATTAGGAAAGGGGGATTGATGCAGAATCACAATTTAATTTGGTTAAATTTGGCTCACAGGGCCTTGAGGGCAATTAAACTGTAATCAATTAATATGATTTTAAAAAATAAATAAAAATAAAAAGCTTCACAATGCTGGGTATAATGAGGAGCCACATCCCTCTGAATACTCAAATATTGCACCAAATCTTTTTAAAGTAGGCAACAGAAAAGTACATCTACTTAACAATTTACTTGTACTTTTAACTTGTAGTACATTATTTCAGAGTTAAATCTTGTACTTTCTGCTCCACTGAATTGATTTGAAAGCCTTAGTTGTTTTTAAAATAAAGACTTTAACCTTCTGACATCAGTTTCAAAACTCTAAGAGGTTCTTAAGGATTAAAAAAAGAAGAAATGTCATAAAAACAACATTATCTTCCACTTCACTAAGTCAAATTTATATTTTTTTTTTAACTAACATCTGTCCTGATCATAACTAGCACATGTTCATGCATTTTCAGGATGTGTACCCTTAAATTATTTTCCTTACGATAAGTGGTAAATAATTCTTAGCAACAACATTGAGTCAGATGCATTATTGTTTTTTGAACTGTTTAAGATTAAACAGTCTCATCTGACAACTCATAGAACATGTAAAATGTCAGTCCTGTCAAAATATAAATATAAGATCACTTTGAGAAAGAAAAAGATAAATTCTTTCAAAGCTGAAGAACATTCATCCTCACTTTCAGAGTCATACGAGTTCTGCTCGTTGTCGCTGTTTCACATTTATTCGAGTAATATACAACTGAGAGATGCTTGTGCTTTATGTCAAACTCATTTATCCTAGAGGGAAATGTTTTACTTTCTCCTTCGCTGCATTTATTTGACCCCTTTAGTTACTTTGAAGATGAATATTTTCATGTAAGCATTTCAAATAAAACACATTGTTAAAGACTGTTAAACATCTTTGTCTGTGGGTAGTTGAGGTCACATTTCAGATGTCTATAAGTTGGCAACAGCTCCACCAAATAGTGTTTTGTTCTTTAAACTTCTCTGATGGTTTCATTTCAATTGTTGTTCAAATGATCTAATATTTCACCAAAAATCAAACACTAGAGAGAAAGTACATAAATTGGAAAGAGATGTGTCAATGCAAACTTTGTTTTTCTTCTTTCCTTTTACATAAATCACCTGATGAGCCCTCGGATTTATCTGCTGTCCCTGTATATATAACAAAGTAGTTTAAACTGGCTCCACCTGCAGCAGCTACAACATGGTGCTGACATACTGATGCTTCATTATTAATAATATAATGATGATTAATATAATTAAATAGCAGTCAGTGAAACCAAACCAGTCATTTTACTTACTTTAATACCTGACCTACATTTTACTGCTTATAATTACATACTTTGGTTGTGTTTTTTGCTGGAGTTTTACTTGTAATGGAGTGTTTTTACACGGCTGTATTGGTACAATCTGACCATTTTGAACCACCATAAAGTCCAGCTCCCATCTGGTCATTACTGGCCGACTGTTCACTTGACAGTTTACAACGCACTGTAATGACAAACTGACAAGCAGGCCAACTTATTCACCTTTATAAACATTCACTGTGATAAATTCCAGTGTTGTTAAAGCAGGACATGTCTAAGTTCTAATCTACCTTTATGATATAGAAGAGTGTTAACGAAGGCAGATAGCCGCTCTGGTCTGGCTGAGCGCCCGTCACCTGTCCAAATAGTCCTCAGGTCAGCCTATATTTGTCCTCTGGTTGAACCAAACACACCTAAATGCCATCTGGCCCAACGACGTCTCTATAACCGTCTCAAAATGACCTGCGAGTGATTCTGTGGTTCTCAGCTGCCCCAGAGGCAGTCGACTTGGTAGTTAACAGGTGATCAATAAACGGCAAGGCCTACCTTTTAGCGTGACAGCGAACACAGTTCAGGTGTTTCACGTGATTACAGCATTTAAGTGTACTCTACAACTTGTCTGTGTAGATTCTCAGTCCTCCAGGTTACAGTAAGTGGAGCCACAAATAGAAGGCCAGGTGCTTTTTACTGAAGCTTTATGGATTTTTCTCTACAAGCACAAAAGATAGCAACAAAAAAACACCAAACAACCTGTGTACTGTCAATAAAGTTCGTTTATGTAATTGGAATGAATACAGGCTGCATTTTACTTTCTATATTTTCAATTCTTTGCATCAGATTACTTCACCACTATGAAGCCGATGTGGAAAAGGACATTGAACACATCACTTATCAATGACAACAGTGTTTTTATTAAGTGTACTTCATGGGACAAGGGTTGAATGTGTCAAAATTATAATAGAACATGTAAGCCAGTCATTCATTTGGGCTTATTATTATTTATATTATACTGTTTTATGTATTTTAAGAGTAATTTGCATTTAAATCAGATGGTTAAGTGGACTGACTGATGATGGAGGAACACAGCTGACCTTTGTTGATATTTACAACCAGCTGCTTTATCAATTCAATTAACAATCACTTTTAATGACCAAAAAGCTTCTGTGCAGTGGATTGAAATTTCAAGCTGCCTCCGTGTTTGTGTCCTCAACATCAGACCCAAAAAACTTTAGAGAAGATTTAATCTGGCACATTTTAGAAAACGCCTCCTGCCATACAACAGGTGACCACAACACACTCACACACACACACATAGACAGGAAGGAGGGAACAAAACTGTACCAGTAAGCAAAAAAAAAAAAACAAGACTTTCACTTTACCAAAGAAAAGTCAGATGTCCATGAAACCGAGGGAACGTGTCCTGGATGTGTGTGTGGAGCTCAGAGACGGACTCGTTAGGACCGAGCAGCTCCTCCGCTCACTCCGGAGCTCCTGTCGGATATCTCGCATCTTGATAGCTCGCCGTGATACTAAAAAAAACTGTTGTCGGTCGCAAACAAAATGGTGAAGCAGTAGCATAACACACACTGTAAGTTGCAAGTTCTGTCTGTAAGGTTTTGGAGCTATGTGCATGCAACTGTGGTTTAATTGTTTCCTGCGTGGTCAGTCGCTTGCTTTGTAGGAGAGCAGCACTGTTGTGTTAGCTTAGCCTAGCTAAGACAACTGTCTCCATTGACTGTGTGACATCCAGGCTAGCATAGAAACATGGATGTAAAAATCTGTCTGAGTTATTCATTGTCTGCTTAACTGCAAACCGGAAAATATTAGCTGTATTTAACACTACTCGAATAAGGGTTAACGCTTGGTTAGCTTTCTGTTTCAGTGGAGTCCAGCGACAGTTAGCTAAGCTAAACATTGATGTCAGCTAATGTTAGCAAAGTGTAGTGATAGCCCCCATTGAGTCCAGGCCTTTTAAACACTGTTTGGGCTACAAATGGACCAAAACAACCTGTCTGCAGCGGAGAACAGCAGCATATATGTTGGATTGTGTCAATAAAGAGCTACATTTTGTCCTGGAGTTTATCTTCTGTGCATTAACTAGCTGAAGGCTGAGTCCATCCCCTCTAAACACAGATTTCAGCAATAGACAGTGATTGAGAGGAATCAGGAACACCAGATTTGTTTTGCTTTAATGTGAAAGTTTTTGTTTTGGGAATTCCTGCTGCATGTTTTCCTCACTCATTGCCTGAGTCTATTATGTGGCCAGAGGAGGGATGCCATAAGTGACACAAATTAACTAAAATGACTCAACAGAAAACAGTCATTAGAGGTTTTTGCTGGTCTACCCTCCAGTGCCAGGTCTAATGTGGGCCCTGTCTTGTTCCTCATAGGATCAGGGAGTTGTCTTGATTATTCTTATCTTCTGACCCTGACAGTGATGTGCAAATTGTGCACACGGCATCAAGGATTTTAGGCATTTTTGAGCATCAAATGGGTGAAATGGCTTGGATGCTTAATTGTAACTGGTAGAGCTGCACACTACATCATGCCAGCATCTGCATCGCCGTAGTAGTCTAGTCAAATCACTGTTATTCATATAGCTCTTTTAAAACAGCAGCCATTGAGCTAAAGTTCTTTCCAAGTACACAAATGAGAGTGGCGTTGCAAATTTTACCCAGCAAGTTTAAATGTTAAGATAAAGACCCAACATAATCACACAAAGAAAACCCTTAAATCTACAGGTTCCCAGTGAGCAAGCATGTTGGCGACAGTGGAGATGAACAATTGTTTTCCAGGGTTGTGCAGCCCTACTAGAAAGGTGTTTTGACCGTAACCGTTCCATCTTTATTTTATTAATATTATGGTGTGTTTTTTGCAGTTTGAGCATGGCAGAAAGAAAGGGAAAACCAGCAACTCCAGTCAAAACGCTCTCGAAGAAAGAAAAAGTAGAGAAAAAGAAAAAGGTATGGAGTTTTAGGATGTTGAGTGCTTTTTGAATTCTGCATTTTGAACAAATTTGTGTGAAATAATTGCATGTTAGTAATCACCAATCTCTAAAAGTTAAACAGTGAACGAAGAGAAAGAAAAAGTACAACCGTCTTACCTCTTTGTGTGTTTCTACGTGACGTTGTAGGAGGAAGAAAAAGCAGCAGAGGTGTTTGAAGAATTCTTGGCATCATTTGAGGCCAGTGAGAAAAGCAAAGTGAAAACTTTTGTCCGTGGGGGTATTGTGAATGCAACTAAAGGTGAGCAGCTCCGACTTCAGGACTTTCAATTCATATTAGGACATAATGCAGCTGCATGGCAGTTGTATTGCTCTGCTTCTGCACGGGAGGTCTGGACAAAAGCCGAATGATGAGTAATCTGTTCTAATAATGTTGTATTGAA